GCCCGGCGCCGGGCGCCCCGGCCCTCTCCGCTGAGGGGACGGCGGCGTCGGCAGTCCGAGGAGATGGAGACTCCTTTTAGCTTTTCCCCCTGCTTTCCCTGTTATTTTCCTCGAGTTTTATTTCGCTTTTTATTTTCTCCTTCTTTTATTTCCATTTCTCTGTTCTTTCCCTTCTCTTTCGCCTTTCATTTCGTTGTCCCTGCGTTTTGGCGTGCCGCAGGCAGGTGCCCGCGGACGGGTGCGGCGGGACAGTCTCCTGCGCTGCGCATCGCAGGAGAGGATGGGAATGGGGCGACGGGAATGGGGCTCCGCGGGGGGACGCCGGCTCAAGGGTGCGCGCCCCCGGAGCGTCGGGGCGGCCGTTCCAAGCAGCAGCCGCCTGATGAGTTGAAATTAGAGGAAAAAATAGTATTTTACCGCATTTTCGTGCACCTGATCCCGTGCTGCTCCTGCAGCTGAACGTCTATTGCTTTTTTATCCTTTCTATTCGTTTTTCCTTCCTCTTTCCCCCCTGTCTCCATGGGCTTCCCGTGCATGAGCAGAAAAATAGGGAGAGCAATTCAGCAGCCTTTGACTCCGTTTTAAATTCCCAGACTTCGTAGCTCAAAAGGTCCATGAAAGCCTATACGTGCTGGAATTGAGATGGCTACAGTCTTGGGACTTTGGTCCCATCCCTCCCCTCCACACAATCACCTTTTTAATCTTGCACGCAGAATTTGAAAGGCATAGACCAACCTGTATGGCTCAGGAAGGACACGGTGACTCTACATTTTGGCTCAGGAAGGGCAGGCTGCGCTAGTTTTGTTCGGAGCAGGGAGGCAGGATGGGTTTTCCAGCTGAAGCACTTGTTTTTTGTATGAGTCAGGCACACTGTTGGTATGAAACCCCAGAAGCTGAGGAGGGGGAGAGGAGGATTTGGAAAACTGGCATTTGACTATCTGATCCACCCTCTCAGCCTGACCATGGCCCCTGCCACACCTTTGGGGATCCCAAATGCTGAAAGCAAACATTAAAGTTTGTATAGGAGCTGAGGAGGGAAGCAGGATAGCATTTGGGGTACCCACTTCAGCAGGGGGATGTGTCGCCAGAGCATTTTGGCATCCGTGCCCACCCCCGCATGTGCGAAGGTGCAGAGGTGCGGTGTAGCAATGACATCCTCAGTGCAGGGCAAGCCCACATGTCCCCTGCCTGTGTGGCAGTGGCAGAGTGGCCGTGCCGCCTGTCTCGTTTTGTGGTCCGACTGCTGCCTGCTGTTAGCATGGCTTGTTTGCCAGAGGCAGAGCTGAGCTGGGAGGTAAGTGGTGCGAAGAGCACTGGAAAGTTTGGCTGGCTCTTCAAACTGGGGTGACCTCGTGGGACGGGTGACGGGAACCTCCACAGCACTGCCATGGCCGTGGTGTGGCACAGGGTGTCCTGCCCATGCCTGGTCACCTGGCAGGAAAGGGGGGTGCAGAAGGGTGACTTCAGTCTGAGCGGGAATCCACGGAGTCCTGAGTGAGTCAGTATCTGCATGTGTTAACAATAAAATGCAAAAATAAAATGTCAGAGTGATAGGAGAATGAGACACGTCTAAGAATACAGCAGCTTGGCAGGGATGCTCCATGTTGCGTCACCCTTTTCTCACTCGAGGGCCCTCTCTGCTCTCCCAAACCTCCCATCAGCTTAGGAACAGGAAAGGTTAGAGCTGAGCCAGCCAGGCTTTTCCACTGTGGGCACACAGTGTCAGTGTCAGTACCGAGCCGGGCGCTGACACCAGGCAGGTACGGTGGGACTGGGCTCGGTTCGTGACCAGGCAGGTAGGAGTGGGGTGGTCAATGCTGCATGAGCAATTTAGTAGAAAAGCCCAGAAAAGGACTTGCCAGGAAAATGCTGAAAGCCCTGAACCTCCTCTTGTTGATGCATGAGAAACTTTAAAATGACTACAGGTAATGCTGAGAGGCATAAACCCAGCCTGATACCACCATGTTTTACAAACAGGTTACTTGTTGGTTCATTTTGGGGGGTGGGGGTGGTGTTAAGGGAAAGCACCTCATAAAATCATAGAATAATTCAGGTCAGGAGGGATCTCTGGAAAACCACTTTCAGGTCACTTGGGAACGCTGGAAGCATTTGCTAGTCAAAACCAAATGCAATCTCCCCTGCCACACCAATTACTCCTTGCTCTCCTCCACCCAGTGCCCAGAGTTTCCAACTGCTTTTGGGGCAATTCCGGTTGGGTTTGGTGCGAGAGCTGGCAGAGGCTGCCTGGCCGCGGGGTAAGGCTGGCTAACAGCGCTTCCCGCTCTCTACGGAGCAACGCTTTGGTTTTCACTCCCAAATAGAAAGACAAGTTCCCTCTAGAAAGGGGAAACGGTAACAATTTTTTTGTTTGCAGCAGATTGCAAAGGCAGTAAATGCTGATTCTTTCAGAGCCAGCCATGGATTAAGTCCATTATAAAATTAAAACAGATGGAACACAATTTCACTTACATTACAAAAAAGGACAGGAACCATCTGCAATAAGATTTAGCATTGCAAAGCTATTGTTATCATGTTACCATTAAAACCTTTGATGAAGGGTTTTCTTTTCTTTCATAAACTTGTTCACATGAAACAAATGTTTTATTTATCCATCTTCCTAAGATAATCATATTTTATTTAAAAGATGACATCTCTCAAAAAAAACCCAGCTCTTGGTTCTAACAGAACATTTAAAAACAAAGAAATGTAAAACGCCAACGTCGAACCATTTTGGGCTTCAACGGGGAGGATGTAGCAAAAGGAGAATACTCTGTCCATCTTCCCTTTGAAAAACATTTCCTTGTGTTTGGGGACAATGTCTGATACTGAAAATAGATAATTAATGAGATAATGGGATACTGCATGTCACCTCCTGTCCAATGGGATTATCTGATGGCTAATTATGGACAGATTGTGATTAATGTGATTATGGATTGGATATTAATCTGATTCTGGATTGATCTAGTTATGTTTTAGTCTGCTCCAAATGGTTAATTGGATCTGAGATAATAGAAATGCAGCTTGCACCAGATTTTGCCACATCAGTTGATGAAGTATCTTTTGATCTGGGTGGGTTGCGAACAATAAATTATTTACAGCTGTTGAGAAAATGACTCTTCCTTAGAATGTAGTCATTCATTTTATTTTCGAGAGCCTTTGAAAACAAAATCAATATCCTTTTTAAAAGGAGATGTTGACAAAAGAAAGGCACGTACATAACTCACAAACAAATGTGACGAAATTAAACAGTGGTTAACCCGGTGGCCTAATGTCTGGTGATGCATTTGAATTGCTATGTGGAGCTTTGGGCTCAATTCTTCTGAGACCAGCAGGGGTTGGGAGCATTGCAGGGGAAGAGGGCCCAGCTCTGGGGAAAGTGGTATTGCACAAGAGCTACTGCCAGCCCTGCTATTGATTAAGAATCAGCCATGGTAAAATGGCAAAGGGAGCCCTTGCCATTTTTTTCCCCTCCGGATGAGAAGGATTCAGCAAGTTCAAGGGTGCAGAAAGGACTCCCTTGGCCCATCTCATCCTTCATACCAGACCACGCACTTGGACCCAGTATTATTATTTTTTCCCCTCTCAGTGAGCCCATTAACTTATGGTTGACCTCAGCCACGTCTCCCAGAGATGCATCTGGTCTTGATGTAGCCTGCCAGTGTAGGAGAGGCTGCCCTGCTCCCTGCAAAGCCATTCTGCTTGTTAACTACTTTCACTGAAATGGCAAATTAAGTGTATATTTTAGGTTCAAACCCCAGCCACTGTATCTTGTTATGCCATTATCTGCAGGATTAAAGGCAATGGGTAAGTTGTAGCATCTTAGACTTTGTGACAAGTCAAGCAGGAGGTGTGTCAGCCTTCCTCACTTGCTGGCATAAGCTGCAGGTAACTTCACCCAAAGGTGCCCCTCTCTCAACAGGCTTTGCAATAAAAATATCAAAAATCAAGCAGGTCCCAAAACACTGAAAACAGAGGCCTATTGCAGCAGCTGCTCTTAGCACTGAAGTGTTATTCACCAAGCTGAAACTGAAGGAAAAAAGGAAAAAGCAACTTTCCCCAAAGCGCTTGCAGGCATGGAAAGGGCCGTTCCCCTGGGGTGATTTCACACGCCGACTGTCCCTTCCTCTGACGGAATGGCTTGGGCTGGCACGAGCGGGAATGCAGTGGCATCTGGATTCCTCTCCAGCAGCGTTACAGGCAGAAAAAGCAGCTACCTGTTTAAAAAATAATGCTGCTATAACCTGGCAGAGAATTTTACACGCATCTCCCATTAGCGACAAGGCAAGCTGTGTGCCAGAGGAGGGCGGCAGGTCGTGAAACACCCATCGTGGGTGTCTGCACTGGGAGGGGAACAGAGCTCTCCCCACCAGCATTGCTTCCCTCATCCTCCACACAAACCACCACTGCTCCCAGGCAGGACAAGCTGCCTTCTAAGGTAACCTGAGCCTTTGCTTCCAGGAGGTTATGAGGGTCCCTTTTCACCCGTGACCCAGGCAGAAGGGGCTTCTTTAACTCCTCTGGTGATCTCGTTCTCGAGGAATATGCAGCAAATGTGATGTTCCTCCCTGATTCCCTCATTACTTGACTGGCACATGGAAATAATTAGCAAGTGAGAGTTTATAAGAAAGGGAAAACACCTGCCTGTGGTGGTTTTGTAGGCTCGGTATCAGCAGAAGGGTTGTCCCTGCTATGGGATGGCTTTGGGGGAGCTCTTTCTTCTGTTCCTCACTGTGGAAATAGGGCTCATGGTATTGTCTGCTGTGAGGCCTCATGAAAGACTATCTGCTGAGACATGCAGGTGAGTGTTTGTAAGATGATCTGAGCAGAGCATTAAGCACACCTGTGGTGGTGTTTTATTATAAAGGAACTCAAATGTCAGGTGTGTTGAGATGTATTTTTGTGCCAGTGAGGATGAGGAGCAGAGGGCAGGACCCCAGGGAGATGTGTCTCTTGTCGTGCACAGAGTCCTGTGTTTGTGGCTGCGGGGAAAGGGTGAGTGCAAGGGGACAGGCAATGTCCTGGGGTGGCTGAACCACTTTGATCATGCAAGCTTGCAGTACTTGGGCATGAAATACTTCAGCAGCAAACATTTCTTCTGCTGCCACTTCCAAGGTGGGTTTTTGTCCCATCCCTCCTCGCTGCTGCCTGTCCGGTGCTGGGCCATGGGTCCTGCCTGTCGTCTGAGAGAGAGCCCCGCTGAGCCGTAAGCAGGTTGCAGTTGCTTTAACGTTATTGGATTTTGACAGATTAGGAGGCGAATCCTTTCGTGTGTTGGGGAAGCTTCCCAAATGAAGCTCTTTTAATTTATCTGAGTCAGCTATCCCCAGGGCGATTGCAGGAGGAGTAAGCTAAGGCTGACCCATGACAGAGGGGACCATCATAGCAGTAATAAAAAAATTCCTGCCCTTCACTAAATCCCTTAGTCATGAGGCTGTATTAGCTGGATTCCATATGTTTTAATTAGGAATTATGTATTTTAAGGGAACCAAAATCCGATTCTAGTGAAGACATGATTACATATTTGTAATGGTTTTCATTTAGCTTTTGTAGGGATACCAATACAGTTACCTGCTCTTGTTTGCAACCAGATTTTTGAAAATTTGAGTAATCTGTGTTATTGATTTATTTTTGCTTTTTCTTTCCCCCCCTCCCAATTGTGTGAAAAAAATGTAATTCCCTTTCCAATGCAGAAATTGGGTCAGCAGATCCTAATGAAATAATCCTGGATAACAATGCACCATACAAGGATCTGCTTCCACTAATTAATGACTAACTTTTCTTTCAAAATACAAAGTACTATCGTCTGCCTGCAGTGGACAGTGACTCAACCTTCAGTGGCACCTGTTTCTTGCATGTCTCACCATTTTTATTATTGTCACGCCCTAGGTGGGAAGGTCAAATAAAAAAAAGCTTTTTGCCACAGTTGAGCATCAGCTGATATATGGATCATGCTGATATAATCCCTACCTGATTACAGTTATAAGCTGGCCATAAGTGATAAAGACTTCCTTTGTGCTTCAGGGTGTAATCCGCATCAAGCCAGTTTCAATAAGGATTATGTGCATCTGAAGTGTTGCTGAGGTTTTGAATCAAAATTATAAACAGAAAACATAATAAAAAGCCTGTCACGTCTCTGGTTTGGTCACATTGCACCTTGAAACCTGACCTAAAGGGTGGCGATGTCACTCTGCTTGTGAAAATACGATGTATGCTATTAAGCCAGATACGTAGTGAAAGGGTCAATTTATTCTGAGCTATGATGCAATTACGTCAATTTTGATAGTAGCTCACATT